CACGAATTTGACTGCGTTACTGAGCAAGTTTGGCTTGTTACATTATTACAGTATTTCTCACATTGTCATTTGTACATATTCTGTGTAATTTGTTTGTTTATTGTCAGCAAGTGAAACAGCACCTTCCCCGAGGTATCAGCATGTACCATATTTGGAATAATTTGTTTGTTATTGGTCACAAACCTCTCAGCTATCCATGTCCTTTGTTTATTTCATTTTAAGTTATTGCTCTGTGTTAACTAGCAGCAGAACCAGCTGGTACTGTGTTTTTAGATGTAAAAAGATGTTATGTTTACTCCTGCGGTCGTTACAGAGTAAATACCCAGTTACGCGGCCCGTCGTGGGTAAATACAGAGCAGCCTACAAAAAAAACGAAAACGTTTTGAGAGTGTGTCATTTGTTACAGTCATAATGCGATAACACCGTTCTGTTTTTAACTATGATGAAGATTCACAGTTCACATTGATTCCTAGCAGCGTATGTCACACACATCAGACATATCATGTAATTATCACGTGTATATATAAAGTGTTTATGAAGAAACACTGTCGACTTGTTTTAATGAAGGTGTTTGAGGAAAAAAAATGTTTCACTCTGTGTCTCTGCTCAGGGATCTCAAGCGGTGGGCTATTGCAGAAACTTGTTCACGGAGCGTTTACTAAATTAAAATTTATTTTTGAAAGTTGTTGTATTTGTATAAATTATCGAGCTTTGTAGCCCCATTTTTTCTCCTTTTTGTATTATAAAATGAACAATGTGCCAGAGTAGACCTTTCTTCCCAGTGGTGTTTCTCTTTGTTTTGGTTGTTTGTCTGCTTATTTGTTTGTTTGTTTGTTTTTTCCACAATAAATTGATGGTGTTCTGCTTTGACGAGTGCCTGTGCAGCCATTATTGCTGATGGTGGAGGTCACAGATTGATATTAAGGTTTTGCCAGTCACACTTTGGAGCAACAGCTCGAGTTTTACATCACATTTCCGTTGTATTGAGCGTTAACGGGGTGATCTTCCATGCTGTGCAACAGCTTTTACAGGGTATATAAAGTTGCCCCCTGTAAATTTGCTAAAATGTGTCATAAAATCAACTCAAATGAATTTCCTCTGCTTTGATCTTTGTACAACAAAGGAGACGTGTAAATATTGCCATATGGACGGGGTAGCAGTGCGGAGCCACATATGGTCGGCGTGTTTCGATTCCGCCCGTCCCACAATTCAGACCCCGTTGACAAGTAAAGGGCCCTTCCCTGTGAACGAAGCAGTCTGCCTTGTGATGTTTCTCACATGTTCTGCTTGGAAGGTCTGCGTCCATGAACCGAGCTCACCATGGTGCCCAGATTTCCTTATCGAGCTGGAATGCATGGGCGCTGCTCGCACTCACAGTCCAGTTTGGCTCTTCTTCTCATAACACAGGTGCGCTTCACTTAATCTCTGCATCAAATAGAGAAAGTTGACAGTTTGTTGGGTTGTGGAGTCACGCC